TGTATATTTTGAAATTAGTTTTCCTAGTAAACCCGATAGAACTGTACCGATTAACATTGGTAAAAAACCACCTTTTTGTATAATGAATTTACGTTAAATGTTGTTTTGCCTGAGCCAAACGGCCCAGCTATTATCATTGTAAACGGGTGATGGAATTGAATCATGTTTTAAACATAAACTTTTTGCAGCTCTTGATAATAAAATCTTCCGCTTATTTCTTTACCCTTCAAATCGTGCAGTACAAATAACGGATAAGGTTCTCTATTTATAATTTTATTTACTATAAAAATTTCTTTCGTCCATTTTTCTGTATAGCCATGTTCAAAAGTTGCTTTTTTTCTACGTACTCGTACTAAATCTCCGACAAAAATGTCAACAAATAATTTAGGGTCTTTTTGAAAACGTTTTTTAAAATTGTTGTAAATTTCTTTAGTATGTTTTAATTCAACTTCTGCAGGACGAAATTTTGTGGTACTGTGTACAGAAATATTGTAACTTTTAACGAGTTGCGGTAAAATGTCTATGTATCTTTTACTAGAACTTTCTGTAAAGAACCTGAACATCTTTTCTTTTAACGTTCTATTGAATCGTTCAACCACAGCCGCTTTATTTGTTGATGCTATTATTGGAAATCTTTGTTTGATATTATTATGTTGTAAAAAATTTTTAAATATTATATTTTTGAATTCTCTACCTTCATCGATTGAGCCGTTTCTGGTTTTCGTTGACTTTTTAATATAATTTTACTAAAGGCTTTTGTAACTTCAGATCCTGTTTTTTGTTTTAAAGGTACTACCCAAGCAAATTTCGAAAAAACATCAATTGCTGTTAACAAAAATGTGTAACCATCATTATATTTTTTAAACATTTTTAAATCACAAAGATCTATTTCCCACAACTGATCAATTTTTTGAACTAGGTAATGATTTCTTGGAAACTTTGTTTTCACCGGGTGATGTAACGTATAAGTTGGTTGACTCCTCAACCCAGCTTGAATTTTTTTCAGAGATATTTTATCATGTTTTAAAGCCTTGTGAAGTTTACTAATTGAACCATAAAGGTTTTCTGTATCTTTATCATAATATGTTTTAAGTATTTTAGAATTCACATTACCCATATTAAAAGCAACTTGTAAGCTTCAAATCTTTATATAAAAAGAAAACATTACAGAAAATTAACTTCTTATATATTATATTTTCTCTAAATTTTTAAAAAAAGTCAAATTTTAATAAAAAAATTTACAAAATGCGTTTCTTAATTCGACTAACAGGTATCGGTTTTTTATTCAAAATTTACATACATTCTGTTTAACTCTATAAACAACAGATTCTTTATCCATTCAAAACTTACATACATTCTGTTTAACTCTACAGATAACAGATTCTTTATCCGGTTGGAAGACAAAAAATTTTATATCTTGGCATGTTTATTATTATATTAAATTTTATATCTTTACGTTAATATTCCACCACGATTTATATTTTTCTTTTCATTTTGCTTTTTATTTTTTTAAACCTTTTTTTGTTTTTTTATATTGGTTTGCTCGATCAAGTACCACTCGAAAAATATTTCATATCTTAGCATGTTAGCTAAGCCTACGTTAATATTTCACCACAATTTATATTTTTCTTTTTATATTGCTTTTTATTTTTTAAAGCTTTTTTGTTTTTTTTATATTGGTTTGCTTGATCAAGTACTACTCGAAAAATATTTTATATCTTAGCATGTAAGCTACGCCTACGTTAATATTTCACCACAATTTATATTTTTCTTTTTATTTTGCTTTTTATTTTTTTATTTTGCTTTTTATTTTAAAAGCTTATTTTTGGTTTTTTATATTAGTTTCTTAGCAAAAGTGCTACTCGTAAATACCCTTTCACTCGATCCAATTTTTTTTTTATATATTTTACTACGGAGAAGTACTAATATACTACTGACAGATGACAGATGACAGATGACAGATGACAGATGACAGATGACAGATGACAGATGACAGATGACAGATGACAGATGACAGATGACAGATGACATATGACAGATGACAGATGACAGATAACAGATGACAGATGACAGATTACAGATGACAGATGATAGATGACAGGTGACATATGACAGACGGCAGATAACGGATGACAGATGACAGATGACAGATGATAGATGACAGATGACAGATGACATGTGACAAATGACAGATGACAAATGACAGATGACAGATGACAGATGACAAATGACAGATGACAGATGACAGATGACAAATGACAGATGACAGATGACAGATGACAGATGACAGATGACAGATGACAGATGACAGATGACAGATGAAAGATGACAGATGACAGTTGACAGATGACAGATGACAGATGACAGATGACAGATGACAGATGACATGTGACAGATGACAGATGACAGATGACAGATGACAGATGACAGATGACAGATGACAGATGACAGATGACAGATGACAGATGACAGATGACAGATGACAGATGACAGATGACAGATGACAGATGACAGATGACAGATGACAGATGACAGATGACAGATGACAGATGACAGATGACAGATGACAGATGACAGATGACAAATGACAGATGACAAATGACAAAAGACAGATGACAGATGACAGGTGACAGATGACAGATGACAGATGACAGATAACAAATGACAAATGACAGATGACAGATGACAGAAGACAGATGACAGATGACAGATGACAGATGACAGATGACAGGTGACAGATGGCAGATAACAGATGACAGATGACAGATGACAGATGACAGATGACAGATGACAGATGACAGATGACAGATGACAGATGACAGATGACAGATGACAGATGACAGATGACAGATGACAGATGACAGATGACAGATGACAGATGACAGATGACAAATGACAGATGACAAATGACAGATGACAAATAACAGAAGCCAGATGACAGATGACAGATGACAGATGACAGATGACAGATGACAGATGACAGATGACAGATGACAGATGACAGATGACAGAAGACAGATGACAGATGACAGATGACAGATGACAGATGACAGATGACAGATGACAGATGACAGATGATAGATGACAGGTGACATATGACAGATGGCGTATAACAGATGACAGATGACAGACGACAGATGACAGATGGCAGATGACAAATGACAAATGACAAATGAAAGATGAAAAATGACAGAAGACAGATGACAGATGAGGGATGACAGATGAGAAATGACACATGGCAGATGACAGATGACATATGACAGATGACAGATGACAGATAACAGATGACAGATGACAGATGATAGATGACAGGTGACATATGACAGATGGCAGATAACAGATGACAGATGACAGATGACAGATGACAGATGACAGATGACATGTGATAAATGACAGAAGACAGATGACAGATGACAGATGACAGATGACAGATTACAGATGACAGATGACAGATGACAGATGACAGATGACAGATGACAGATGACAGATAACAGATGACAGATGACAGATGACAGATTACAGATGACAGATGACAGATGACAGATGACATGTGATAAATGACAGAAGACAGATGACAGATGACAGATGACAGATGACATATGACAGATGTCTGATGACAGATGAAAGATGACAGATGGCAGATGAGGGATGACAGATGACAGATGGCAAATGACAGATGACAGATGACAGATGACAGATGACAGATGACAGATGGCAGATGAGGGATGACAGATGACAGATGACAGATGACAGATGACAGATGATAGATGACAGATGACAGATGACAGATGACAGATGACAGATGACAGATGACAGATGACAGATGACAGATGACAGATGACAGATGACAGATGACAGATGACAGATGACAGATGACAGATGACAGATGACAGATGACAGATGACAGATGACAGATGATAGATGACAGGTGACATATGACAGATGGCAGATAACAGATGACAGATGACAGATGACAGATGACAGACGACAGATGACAGATGACATGTGACAAATGACAGATGACAGATGACAGACGACAGACGACAGACGACAGATGACAGATGACAGATGACAGATGACAGTTGACAGATGACAGATGACAGATGACAGATGACAGAAGTAGTATAGTAGTACTTCTCCGTAGTAAAATATATAAAAAAAATTGGATCGAGTGAAAGGGTATTTACGAGTAGCACTTTTGCAAAGAAACTAATATAAAAAACCAAAAAAAAGCTTTTAAAATAAAAAGCAAAATAAAAAAATAAAAAGCAAAATAAAAAGAAAAATATAAATTGTGGTGAAATATTAACGTAGGTGTAGCTTACATGTTAAGATATAAAATATTTTCGAGTAGTACTTGATCGAGCAAACCAATATAAAAAACAAAAAAAGCTTTAAAAAATAAAAAACAAAATAAAAAGAAAAATATAAATTGTGGTGAAATATTAACGTAGGCGTAGCTTACATGCTAAGATATAAAATATTTTTCGAGTAGTACTTGATCAAGCAAACCAATATAAAAAAAACAAAAAAGCTTTAAAAAATAAAAAGCAAAATAAAAAGAAAAATATAAATTGTGGTGAAATATTAACGTAGGCGTAGCTTACATGCTAAGATATAAAATATTTTTCGAGTGGTACTTGATCGAGCAAACCAATATAAAAAAACAAAAAAAGGTTTAAAAAAATAAAAAGCAAAATGAAAAGAAAAATATAAATCGTGGTGGAATATTAACGTTAACGTAGGCATGCCAATATATAAAATTTTTTGTCTTCCAGCCGGATAAAGAATCTGTTATCTGTAGAGTTAAACAGAATGTATGTAAGTTTTGAATAAAAAACCGATACCTGTTAGTCGAATTAAGAAACGCATTTTGTAAATTTTTTTATTAAAATTTGACTTTTTTTAAAAATTTAGAGAAAATATAATATATAAGAAGCTAATTTTCTGTAATGTTTTCTTTTTATATAAAGATTTGAAGCTTACAAGTTGCTTTTAATATGGGTAATGTGAATTCTAAAATACTTAAAACATATTATGATAAAGATACAGAAAACCTTTATGGTTCAATTAGTAAACTTCACAAGGCTTTAAAACATGATAAAATATCTCTGAAAAAAATTCAAGCTGGGTTGAGGAGTCAACCAACTTATACGTTACATCACCCGGTGAAAACAAAGTTTCCAAGAAATCATTACCTAGTTCAAAAAATTGATCAGTTGTGGGAAATAGATCTTTGTGATTTAAAAATGTTTAAAAAATATAATGATGGTTAAACATTTTTGTTAACAGCAGTTGATGTTTTTTCGAAATTTGCTTGGGTAGTACCTTTAAAACAAAAAAACAGGATCTGAAGTTACAAAAGCCTTTAGTAAAATTATATTAAAAAGTCAACGAAAACCAGAAACGGCTCAATCAGATGAAGGTAGAGAATTCAAAAATATAATATTTAAAAGTTTTTTACAACATAATAATATCAAACAAAGATTTTCAATAATAGCATCAACAAATAAAGCGGCTGTGGTTGAACGATTCAATAGAACGTTAAAAGAAAAGATGTTCAGGTTCTTTACAGAAAGTTCTAGTAAAAGATACATAGACATTTTACCGCAACTCGTTAAAAGTTACAATATTTCTGTACACAGTACCACAAAATTTCGTCCTGCAGAAGTTGAATTAAAACATACTAAAGAAATTTACAACAATTTTAAAAAACGTTTTCAAAAAGACCCTAAATTATTTGTTGACATTTTTGTCGGAGATTTAGTACGAGTACGTAGAAAAAAAGCAACTTTTGAACATGGCTATACAGAAAAATGGACGAAAGAAATTTTTATAGTAAATAAAATTATAAATAGAGAACCTTATCCGTTATTTGTACTGCACGATTTGAAGGGTAAAGAAATAAGCGGAAGATTTTATTTTCAAGAGCTGCAAAAAGTTTATGTTTAAAACATGATTCAATTCCATCACCCGTTTACAATGATAATAGCTGGGCCGTCTGGCTCAGGCAAAACAACATTTATTTGTAATTTGATCAATCAAATGAATAAATTAATTCAGCCTGAAATAGAACATATTATGTGGTGTAATCCAGAAAACAACGCAATGCCGAAAAACCTAAATTTTACCCAAATTGAATATTTTAATGAAATTCCAGAAAATTTAAATAATGATAGCAATATTGCAACAATGATTATTTTGGATGATTTAATGATTGATGCTTACAGTAAAAAAGTTTGCGAACTTTTTACTAAAGGATCTCATCATCGCAACCTATCAATCATGCTTGTATCACAAAATGTTTTTCATCAAGGAAAATTCTGCAGAGATATATCGTTAAATGCAAAGTACTTGGTTCTATTTAAAAATCCACGAGATAAATCGCAAATTTTACCTTTGGCACGACAAATAGTACCAGAAAACATTAAAGAATTTCAAAAGCTATATAATGAGATAACGTCGAAGCCATATAGCTATATTATTTTAGATCTGACGCAAGGTATAAACGATTTATTTCAATTCAGAACTGATATATATGATAATAAAATAAAAAGTTGTGTGTGCTTTTGCACACTAGATCAATTAAAAAATAAAAATTTATGTGAGAAATATGAAACGTTTGATAGCAAACCAGCATATACTGCATACGTTAAAAAAATCTAAAACAAAATTTCGAAATATTTTAATAAAGAATTGTGACTCTGAGGTGATAAAAACTTTGTGTGAAATTTCATTGAACATTCTTAATGGAAATACAAAACTTTCCAAAAACAAATTATTGGGAATAAGAAAATATAAAAATCAACTTCGATATTTAGCTTGCCCAAAAAAATCTATAAACGCTAAACGTAAATTCATTATACAAAAAGGTGGTTTTTTACCAATGTTAATCGGTACAGTTCTATCGGGTTTACTAGGAAAACTAATTTCAAAATATACAAAATGAACAACACATTGCAACGGATGATTGTTATTCAACCAGACTTATACAATAAACTAAAAGAAAATATCATAAACGATAATGAACTCTCGGATATTGATAGAAATATAAAAGCTATTCTATTTAACAAAAAGTTAAATGATAATCAGAAATGAAATTTAGTAACGAAAAACGCCAAGCAATGTCAAAGACGCCTGTTAACTCATTAAATAAGCCAATATTATTAGAGTCTAAAGGCACGCAAACACGCGTAAAACCGGCACAAAAAAGTACTAGTGTTCAAACAGATGATATATACCAAAAAAATATTGGTTAACAAACTACATTTTTACCTGAAGAGGAGCTTTTTGAATTTGAACCAATTGAAAATTGGAGTTTAGACGAGTATGATGTCTTTGACGATACTATAAAAGACGAATCATTTCACCACCACGCAAATCTATTCATACACCAAATATGCGCATGTTTGAAACTGATTCAGGAAATATTATAAGTGTTCCTATTGAAAGCCCTAAAAAACCTTCAAAACGAGTACTTCGATCATCTACAAAAGCAGACGATAAACAGCTAAAACTGAATTTTCCTGTACGTAAGAAGACAAAAGTAAAATCTGATTCTGGTTCATCAACCCAACCAAGGACACGATTCAAATAAATCAGGAAGAGGGTTTTTATATAACTTTATTAAGTGATGCCTCAATAAAATATTTTCCAGAAAATGCTTTATCAAAATTTACAAATAAATTCCCAAAGCATTTTGAGTTAAACAAGAGTAATTGGAAAGTGGGAATTTCTGAAATTTTTTTGAACAATTTTATTCCAAATATATTTGGAGAAGTTTACGAAAAAGCTGCTGTAATATTTATTGGAACAGCAGAAAAAAATTCCATCGGTATTGGAAAAACCTATATTCCTTATAATAAAAATGAACTACAATGTGACTTGAAAACGCTTTTATTACCCACGCTGTTTCAAAATATTGTGGAGCAACAATTGATATTGGAAATCTACAATTTTATTTCAAATGATGCTAACTATGTTTTGGATAACAAATTTAAAATAGATACCACTCATACAGAGTACATAAAACTATGCAGTGAAAGACCTGTGGTCGAAATACGAATACTGGCTGGTACTGGGTATACAGTAAACTTTTTATTAAAAACATGTTTTCAACAAGCACTCGTTGTACAAAAAGAACTTAAAAAATATAAAACTAAAATTATTGAGGTTTATCATATAATAGCAAATACGTTGTTGACGTCTCCGGAAACAAAAACTGATATGTTGTTTGTTTATACCGATATAATAGAACCGCAATATATCGGCGATACAATGACAAGATGTATGAAAACTGTAAACACAATCAATCCCTTTGCGGATACAATAATACAATTTGAAAAAGTTCAATATTGCAGTATAGACAAAGATAACTTTGATAGTATTTCAGTTATAATTTGCGATAAATTTGGATATAATATAAATTTCTGCAGAAGTAACATACCTACAAAAATTGTATTGCATTTCAAAAGATATAAATAAGTGGGCAGGTTCATGTCGTTTATTCTTATACGATGAATCTTTCGTATTACAAGTATTATTTAATTCAAGCAGGTAGAGGTATTGATGATATTGGCCCGTTAGTGCAGTCTAGTGTGCAATATCAAAGAGGTCGTGGACTTGGAATTTTTTTGGAGGGTTGTTTAAATATTTAAAACCACTCATATCATCTGGCTTAAATTTGGTAAAACAAGAGACTTTAGATACTGGAATTAATGCTTTATCTGATATTGCTGCTGGAGCAAATCCAAAAGAAGTATTACAAGATAGAGGTAAACAAGCACTAAAAAATTTAAGACGCCGAGCTGTAAACAAATTGAATGAAATGTATGGAAGAGGTATAAGAAGAAGGACTATAAAAAGAACTCATGCAACGAGATTAACTCATTCAAATAAAAAGAAACGTAAAGCCAAGAGCAAACGCAGAAAAATTCACCAAACAGATATTTTTAATTAAAAAACAAGAAAAAAATGAATGAATGCATGAAATCAGAGTTAGATTTATTTGCAACTCCGCCAATACAAACCAATATTTTAAAATCTGAGGAGGTGTCATACAATACCATTGCTTCTCTGGATAACCCTTCAATAATAGAATTTGTTTCGTTGGGTCACGGCGACACCTACAGGGATTTATCTTCAACATACATAAAACTCAAAGTTCAAATTTTGAAAAAAGATGGAACAGCATGGCATGATGATAAAGGTGCAGATCAGAAAACAATTCAACAACCGAGTGTGCTTAATAATATTTTGCATTCTCTGATTAAGCAATGTAACGTACAACTTAATGGTAAAAATATTACTCCATCAGATGGAAATTACCATTATAGAGCTTATATTGAATCTCTATTAAATTATGGAACTGATGCTGCAACTACTCATTTAGAATGTGCTGGATGGATTTTAGATAAGCCGAATATAGCTAGATCTGACAATAATGGTTCAAAGGAACGTCAAAAACTATATCATAATAGTAACGTTGTTGAGCTTATGGGAAAACTTCATGTGGATATGTTTAATCAACCCACTCATTTAATAAATAATGTGGATATTCGAATTCTTTTTACATTAGAAAAACCAAATTTCTTTCTATTTGCGGATGACTCTGATGAATCACAATTTAAAATTGTAGAGGCTAAATTATTTATGCGGCATGTAACAATAAATCCTAGTGTATTGTTAGCTCACAATGCCGTTCTAGAAAAATCAAATGTTACATATCATTATAAAAGAGTGGAAGTGAAAAATTTTACTATCCCCAGTAATAGTTCGTCAATTTCGCTAGATAATGTTTTTATTGGCCAATTACCAAACACGATTATTTTTTGCATGACTGAAAATGCAGGGTATTCGGGAAAACGATCAAAAAATCCATACAATTTTAAGCATTTTGATATTTCACAATTCATGCTCTATGTTAATGGTGTGCAAGTACCAAACGCTGCCATAGAAACAAGTTTTTCTGATGATAATAATTGCAATACAAGAGCTTATCATACGTTATTCTCTGGAACAGGAATTTATCATAACGATAGAGGACATCAAATAACAAAATCTATGTTTGCAAATGGTTTCTTTTTATTGGCTTTTGATTTAACACCAGATGCATCGGGTAATGAAATTTGCCAACGTTTACTTAATCAAGGAACTATAAGAATCGAAGCAAGATTATCAAAACCAACTCCATCTACATTAACAGCACTTATTTATGGAGAATTTGATTCCAACGTTCAAATAGACAAAAATCGCAATGTCTACGCAAATGTATAAATAGAACAATTTTTACAAACTTAAAATTAATCAAGTGTTGTACACTACACAACAAACATGTCTAAAAAAACTTGTGCAATTGTCGATTTGACGTTTTGTACTGATAATACCGATTATATATTTGTTAAGAATGTTACATGTGTTGGAATAAGAGGAAATTCCAAAATAATCACCAAGGAAACAAACTACAAATTTCTACAAAAGAAATTATGCCAAATACCACAAAGAACTATAAATTCGGCAATGTATTTAATGAGCAAGAAAACAAAGAGCTTCGCGGATTTATGGAAAAATTTGATGTTATTATAACAAATGGTCGTTCCAGCATGCAATTTTTAAAACATTATTTAAAAGAGAATACTAAGATTTATGATATTATTTCTTTTAAATCAGCCGATTAATAAGTACAATGAACACTTTAGAAATTAAAAATGTATTGTCGTGTAATCAGCAAACACAAAAATTTTTCAAAGGAGTTTTTCCCCTAGACAAGCTTCCTAAGCATTTTGAAAAACCTGGATTTGTAGTGGTAAATACTGATGTTCATACTAAACCAGGTAAACATTGGATATGCATTTTTGTACCTTTAAATGGATTTATTGAATATTTTGATTCGTATGGACAAGCACCTGTTCAAAAAGAGCTTCACAATTTCTTAAAAAAAGTTCTAAAAAGTT